GAATTAAAATTGTATTGCAGGAAGAGAAAGCAGCTGATGGTTCTGCTCCATCCTAGTGACTGACTGTCACCAGGAAGGACAGTGCAGTCCTGAAGCACTAAATATAAGGCTGAAATCCTTATTTATGCTTGTGACCATAAATAGAGCACTTCAGAGCACTTCCCCATCACCACAAACCTGAAGATCCCAGGCTACCAATGTGTTCACTCTCACAAAGAAAAGGACAGGATCAGGGATCAGAGAGGGCTCTTCCTGTTATAACATGAGAAGCCAAGTCACACACAGGTGGTCAGATGCTTCAGGGAGCTTTCTGAAGGCCAAAAAACTCTTTGGTGTCCACACTGCACCTCAGAAGTGACCACATTTCAAACTCACACTCAAGAAACACTCTCTGCTTGTCTCCATGATGGAGACACCACAGCCTTTATACAAAGGGTGATGCTGCAGCATCATCTTTCTTGCCCATCATGGTTTCCACTAAGTGAACCTGGGGTGATCCCCCCATGTCAGAGCCCATCCAGCACAAAAACTACAGTTTTTCCAACTGCCCATCCAGCAGCACTCTCCTTCCTTCCAGCCCACAACCACAGCTTGCTTTGGGCCATCATGACATCAGGTCTCAGCTGCTTCACCCATGAACAAACATGCCCTGCCTCAGGTGCTCTAAGACAGGTACATGTGAGCAAAAAGGATCCAAAGAGACTTTCAGAAACTCGTCCTGATGAGCTCTGCTGCTTAATCACATAGTTACAACACAAGAGGAGAGTGTAAATGGTTGTGTGGCTACATTTAAGAAGAAATATTCTATATTAAAAAATAAACAGCCATTTGCTGAGCCACAGATGCCACCACAGCATTAAAAACTTTGAGAGGAAGGAATTAAAATAAGGAAATGAGGAAGCACACTTCATTGCTGTAGGACCCCTGCACAGGTCTGGGTCAGTGGAGGGTGGGAAGGCTGGAGCAGCACCTGCCTGTGCTGCTGGCCAGCCCTGGCTCTGCCATTGCTGGAGGCAGCACTAATGAGGATAGCCAGAGAAAACAGCTCCATTGGATGCAGCCCTGAACGCGTACGGATACCAAGGCAACGGACTCATAAACACACCAAAGCCACTAATGCATCCCTAACCTCTGCCTAAGGGATTGAACCTCCTAAAAATACAGCTGATTTGATCTGAAAGCTCCTTTGTAAATGCTACAGCCAGCTGAACAGGCAAGGGAAGTTAGAAAGAAACACTGTATCTTAGAAAAAAGCTCATTGTAGAAACACTATGGCAACTCAGGAAAAAAGGAGGGAGAAAGAATGGTGATGTATATGGAGAAAACACCACCATCACTAAGGAAAACTGAAAAAGGGAAACTACACTGTAATTTTAACAGCTTATTACTTTCCATTATCATTACAGGTTATACTTCAGGATATTTTACATCTGCATTTAATGTGAACAAATCTGCATTCAAAAGTGGTTGAGATCCAAAATAAGCAAGAACACAGATTTCAATGTTAAACTGCCACACTTTAAAGGCAGTTGGAAATTTTTTCATTTTTTTCCTCTCACTTGCATCCAGGACTTGCCCAATACTCCTGTCCTGGGCCTCAGTTTTCCTGATGTGTGAAATGTTCATGTAATGTCCACTTCTTTATTTTCCTGCCCAGCTCCTGTATCTTCGCTGCTTGTTTCACAGCAGAAATCAGTGAGCCTTTGGTTGCAGGCCACCGCTCTGGGAGGTGGCAGAAGAAGGGAGAGTTGCTTCAACTAACACCCAAATCAATAGGAGCAAGGGAAGACAAGAGGTAAAATCAGGCAATGGGGGAAGAGAGAAAAGTAGGACACCATCAACATTTCTGCCAGACTCAACTGCGAGTGTACAGAAAGTTGACAAGGAAACAGTTAAAGAAATATAAGAAATTTTTGCAGTACCCATGGTGGTGGCTAAGTGGACCACTATTCCTGATGGGTAAAGATGACAAAGAAATGTGTGACCCTAGAGAACCGAATAAGAATAGAGATGGAAAATACACAAACACAACAGAATCTAAAATAAAATAGGGTACACAACAGGAGTATGTATAAAACAGCACAGGCAAATGCAGCAGAGGGAACAGAGAATCTGACAGATAAAAATATGGATTTGAAAAGAATAGAGAAAATAACACCCACACAGAAAGCAGCAAAAGAAGAAAAAATATTTGCGGAAAAACATCTGGGGTCAGGAGCATATTTTAACTTCTGATTTATTTTTTTTTAAGCTCCCAGTTTGCTACTCTCATTTTAATTTTGAACTTTTTTCCCTCCACAAATTGGGGAACTATATGGGAGAATGAACACTTTCACTGTGACTGATCTCCACTGATACTGTAACTACAGATGATGCTCAGGTATATTCAGGTACACTAAGCTGTGAACAACATGAAGACTGCAAGGAAGGAGACTGGCATAGGCAAGGAGTGGCCCTCCTTTCTGACAACCTATCTATTTTAAATTATTTCTCTCCTTGTGTCCCCCATACCATCTTTAACATTTCTCAAATGTGTATTATACATAGGAGCTAATTTTACAACAAGAACCTCTTTCAGCATGCTTTAGATATTAGCAGAGGTTCAGTTATGAATACTAAACTGATATTTTTTGCAGAGGATAAGTAAAATCTTTAATCTTACTGCTTACAGGAATTTAACTACTTTTCAACTATAGAGCTACTGTGGTCTAAATATACACACAGAATATAATATGGAGAGTAAGAAAAGAAAAAATATTTACAACCTTCTGAATGAAAGATTTTTTCACAGGAATGATAATTAAAAATACATTTTAAATGTTGCTCTGGTATACCTGGCCCCCTTTTTATTTGATGATCTGCAAATAATATTGCAGAGGTAGTTTAAAAGTTGATTTAGATATCAGGACAGCAGCCAAAAATCCTGACTTCTTTGCAGCCTTCTTCTTTTCATTTTGCACAATTTTTGATAGAATTTCCTTCATATTATAAAAAGTGAATCTTTTTAATATTGAGTTGGATTCCGGCACTCTCAAGAACAATAAGAACGCATTTTCACAGCCTTTCCATACACATACTTGTGCAATACCATCCAAGACAATAAAGGAATCACATGAAAATGGCACTCAGCTCAAAACAGATTAAATGTTAAACATATGTTTGCGTGTCTATGTGCATAAACAAAAATTCTACCTAGAAGTTTTCTAACACGTACAAAGGCGCAGCTCATAAAATCAAAGCCTTAACTTCTCTTTTCATAGACCATTAGTAAATGTGTTTACTTTTTTTAAGATGACCTGAAGTTTATACTGTAAGGACAATACTGATGTTTTAGAAACTAACTGTGACCACATCATTAACCTGCTAAATTAAAACAGGTTTGTGCAGCCTACTCTGAGTAAGGTATAAATACTTTACAAAATTTCTACTTCCAAGAAACATTTTGGTATCAAAGATTTGGTGCTTTTCAGCAAGAAATTCTTCCTCTATAACTGTTTTAAAATACAGTTGTTGTAAAATCATACTTCTAAAGCAGCCTCTTGCCTTCTCCTTCCAGCAGCACAGTGTCTCCACTGTCTGTAACCAGCAGGGATTCACATGTGCTTCTTAACTAATGTCAGTGCACATAAAGAAATTGCCACTGTTTCAAGTTTATTTACAAGTGAAAAAACAAACCTGATATTTGAGTGGGTGTCATTGCAACCTGAAGTTCATCTTTACAGCAGAAAAACTTGCAGCTATTGCATGCAAACTCTTACACCAAACCACAAAACATTATGTTCAATTATTAGGAGCTAAATTACTTAACAAAACACTTCTATTTACTCTATTATTTATTCTCTTTTCACTTCAGGACAGAAAAGCAAAGCAACTCCTATGTTAAAATAGCTGTGCTAAAAGACTACTGCAAAAACTCATTAGTGAAAGCCACACACCAGATTTCACTGTAAGTTTAATATTATTCAATCTTTCCTCGTGGACTGAAGTTCACAGTGCTACTGCTTTACAATGCTTCTCTGTTCCCAAAGGCTGTAAACACATCTGGAGAAACTTAATTCCCAAGTATTCATTGTTTTTTGAGGATTAGCTGTTGTGCAATTGATGTATCTTCAGTACTTTATGCTTGGTTATTAAAATTCTCAGAGCTACCAGTTATTGGGAGATCCCCCCTTTAATATCCTGGGGTGTTCTGTATGAAGTTTGTAATTTGCCTTTACGGTAAACTGGCAGAAGCAAGGCCATACCTGGAGGGCTGTGTCCAGTTCTGCCTCCTGAGAACAAGAGAGACACAGAGCTCCTGATGCAAGTCCAGCAGAAGGCAACAAAGATGATTCAAGGACATGGGCATTTCTCTTAGGAGGAAAGGCTGAGAGAGCTGGGCCAGTTCAGCCTTGAGAAGAGACAACTGAGAGGAGACCTCACCAATATCTTCAAGTATCTGAAGGGAGGGTGCCCAGAGGATGGACCAGGCCCTTCTTGCTGCTGCCAAGCAATAGGACAAGAGGCAACAGGCAGAAATTGATGCACAGGAAGTGCCACCCAAATATGAGGAAGAACTTCTTTACTGTGCAGGTGATGGAGCACTGGAACAGATTGTCCAGAGAGGGTGTGGAGTCCCTCACTGGAGATATTCAAGAATCATCTGGACACAATCCTGTGCCATGTGCTCTAGGATAACCCTGCATGGATAAGTGGTTAGACCAGATGATCCACTGGTCCCTTTCAACCTGAACCATTCTGTGATTCTGTGAAGTGAAATTATGCTACTAAAATGATAATCATACTGGAATAGGTACCAAGTAGTAACAATGGGAATATCAAAGCCTACAATGCTACTCAAGAAAGTAACAAAAGAACCTAAAATATACCATTACAAATTAATTCAATACCTAAAATCATATCTTTGCTATAATACATCCTCCAAAAACTCCACTGGAAAATTCCATTTCACAGGCACCAGGTCTTGGACAAATGTAGTGTAAGATACAGTCAGTACTTACTGGTTTAGTGTCACATCTAAGATGAAAGATGATCCAAAAGCATCAACTTGGAAGCTGGCTCGAGCAATGTGGGTAGACTGCAATATAGAAAAGACTAGAATTATTATTAAGTCATGGCAAAACCTTTTGTACTGGTCTGAAAATGCAGAAACAAGATCTATACAGTAAGTAAAAATATGTCATTAACCAAATAAAATTGCATTGAAACAGACAAAGCAGTCTATGATAATGAATAAACGATCAGTTTTCTGAATCTATGAGACTTATTCAAGAATTCCCAACAACACAATCTGTGACTCAGAGCAGCCCCCATCTTGACCCATCTATGGTAGAAACAGCTCTTCAAATTCCCATCCTGGGCAAAACTTCCCAACAAAGGGAAGTGAGACCTCCCCTGGCTCACGTGTTCCTTACAGTGACTCTGGACACAGACCAGAGAGAACAGCTGAGACACGACTGGCTTGGTCAGACAACTGTACTCTCAAAAATCTCACCAGCACTGCCTGGAAGAAACTGTTCATTCACACAGACTCTCAGACAGCGAGGGGATAGCAATGGGCTAAAATATAATCAGCTGCATTTTCTGTAAAGCTCTGACTCACAACCCTCTAAAAGGTTCCCAAAACTCCAAACCCTTGAGCAGCTACTAAAACCAAAGAAAAACGGGATGGTAGAGAAACAGATTGCTTGCTTGCTTCCTTTCTTTTATTCTTTTCTTTACCATATATTCTCCCCAAATGGTTCCTTTAATTCAGTCCTATAGCAGACAAACATGGGAACACTTTGTAAGTCCCAACTGACAGGAACAAGAGGGTTTTTTTTAGTAGTAGTGGAAGAAAATACTCAGCTGTCCAATAGAAATGCAACACTTGTTTCTAGACCTGAAAACACCCAAGAAAGGGAACAGCCATGTTATTTAACTAATTAATTAGAAAGCTACTTGGAGACATTTTGGAACAGTATCAACTTTGTTCCTATTTTGTTTCCATTGAAATGTGCACATTAAGATTTGAAGCATGTAGACAGAGGACCTAAGAGGAAACGCTGAAGAGCCACTTACAACGCTAAACTACACTTCTCCAAATAAACATAATACAGGATAGTACAACTGTAACAAATGATTTATTGAAAATTCTGGGAAACACGGGACAGGATGGGATAATGTGAATCATCAAATTAACTCTTTCTAAAACTACTGGCAGGCTTTCAATAGACATTAAATCCAGAAGAGCTGAGAATACCAGCTTCCTTGGAAAAGAACAGCAGCAATGAAAAGGAAAGTTGAGGGAATCATGACATTTTTGTTTATTACATCTTTTAGTTGCCCTACAGCAAAATTTTCTTGTTATGTCTACATATATAAGCAGGAGCATTAATAAATAAAAAAGACAACAACCATGAATACATATATATATAAACAAATGAATCCTTTAAAAACCCAGAAGTTAAGACAGTTTCTCTTACTAGAGGATGCTCAGGCTGAGGGTCCTCTACAAAAATGCCTGGCTGTATCTCTACTGTGAAGTTGCACAAAAAATTGCATAACAAGAAATTCTACACATTTACATTACACTTCAGAAGGATGCAGTAAAACTGGAAAGCTCCTTAGAAGGCACCTCAATAGATATAACTCAGTGTCAGATATCCTTTTGTCTCTCTCCACTACATCTAACCTGCTTTGTAACACACACCACCAGGTCTTTGCTAAGTGGTTCTTTATGGATAATTTATCATCTTTTTTTGAACAAATGTATCCTTTTTCACCAAATGAATATATGTATTACATATAGTTCACCTTATCTGGGTAAATAATAGGTGGTTAATTACCATCAATATTAAAAGCATATTTTCTATCAAAAAGAAAGCATGAAGAAATTAAAAAGAAAATAAACAAACAAAAAAATCTACATCCAGCTGGCATCTGCAATGACACCCACAGAATGTACAGACACCCACAGCACATATGGCACCCACATGCAGGACCATCACTTAGCTGCTTCTGGCCTGCAGCAGCTAGTGCAACCATAAATACAGCAAAAACAACCATCAACAAATTACCACGTTACCATTTTTGTTTCTTTTCCACCTCTCAGGCAGCAGAGTCTGCTTTGAATTATTTTAAAATTTCATCTTCCCTTGCTAGATGTGAATTTTCAGACTGCTGTTCACAAACAGGAGGTGACAGGCCAAGAATCTAGTAAGGCACAAAGGACCAATGGCAGTTCTGTCATTCCCTTGTTCCACTGCAGCCCATTTGCTGACCTTAGCTAACCTTCATTCAGCCACCTGCACTGCAGCAACTGCTTTCTGATCAAAGGAGAAAGGACAGCCCAGCCCTTTGATTCTCATCATTACATTATTAAATGCAAAGAACATTCTACAGCATTTTAGTATTCCTGCTTGTTAACAACATAGCTACATATGCCATCATTTAGATCTCTACACAGAGTACAACCAAGTCTTCTATATGACCATATGTTGGTACCAGAAGAGAATTAGTAAGAAAGAATAGAAAAAGCCTATTGGATTTCTAAATGCACATATATTAAATGTAACATTTGTCATTAAAATATATCCACTTCAGAGCCCATCAGAGCAAAAATTATTGTTTCAGTTTGGCTTGGCTTTTAACTGCTAGGTATATTGCACCATATCGATTTGGTCTGGGAGATTTCCTCTCCTGAACACATCTCTAAGATAAACAACTACAAGCTAATGTATTTCTAAGGTGACCCTGGACCACAGTTGTTCCCTGACAGAAACTGTTAATTTGGAATTAAGGGAGAAAATATGTATGAATAAATTAATATGATAAACATTACACAGATGTAACCACTCCCCAAGATACATGATGCCAACCCAGAAACTTACCATTTAGTTTAAGCTCAAGTGCAATCAAGTGTATCTCAAGGGTATTTCAAGCCTACCAAGATACCAAGACATTCTGGATAGCCTGACAAACTCATTCCTTTCCAGAAACTGCATCCCTTCCTGACACGTGTTTGCAAAGCACGGTCACACTGCACACTGTGGGCTGCTGCCAAAAATGAACAGTTCTGCCCCATCCTGGCAATGTGCTCCCACCATCTCTCCCTTGTCAGCTCATGTGGCTAGCCAGCAAGTCAGATCAGGAGTACAAAATTAATCATCACTTGGAGATTTGTCTGGTTTTTGTCAGACAAATAAACTGATCTAAATAAACCACAATGTAGATGCAATAGAAAGAAGTCAAAGGGGACACCCAAGAGAGAATGAAGAGGAAGACAGATTCTCCCTTTCAGGTAAAAATCTCATCCACCGTAACAAAAAACTGCACCTGAAGAATTCCAGACAATGCATTTTTAGGTTAACAGTTCTTCTAAATATCTGGTTAAGAACCACAAAATAAATAAATGGATTTTAAAAAGTCTTGGGTCTACATTACCTTTAAGCACCTCTACCTGCCTGCTCAGTGAATAGGTAAAATGGCCAGCTGCAAAGGAGCTTACATTCATGGACATACATCAATGAAAGAACCCAAAGAGAGGAAATGAGTACTTTTCCATCTACACCACCTCAGTCAAGCAGAAGTAACAAGAAAAACACCTGCAAAGCCTTCTTTAAACCACCAAAGCAAGACAATAAACTATGTCATTCAGTTCTGAAACCCAGGAACTCTCTCAGAAATTGTGAGGCTTTTGCAACAACCATCAGCTTGACACATTAGTGGCTGGGAACTGAGTCATGAAAGGGGAGTTCCTGGAGACCAGAAGATGCACTCAGTGCAGGACATGAACAAGAGCCAGGAAAGAAGCATTGAACAACTTAATGGAAGAGTGCAATGCAATGCCTCCAACACAATCAAAAGGGTCTGAAATTTTTATGTCATGCAACTGAAGAAGAAAAATACCAATAACAGCTCTGAAATTAGCTGCTTCAGGTGCAGTACTTAGTACTTAGTGGTGCATAAATTGCACTGACCTGCAAAGCCCACTACAGAAAATACTGAACACCCCATGCACCTCATGCAACAATGCAGAGCTAACTTCTGTTAAAGACTGTGAAGTTTAAGCATGTCAGTGAAAGTCTGAAAGGAATCAAGAGTAAATGGAGTGGAAAAGATTATTTCAAATCACTAAGCACAAAAATATTTTATCTAAAGCAAAGATTAAAAGCTTGAATTCTACAAAACCAAAAGTGGTATGCAAACCTTCCTGCCAAACCAAGAGCAATGTGATTCCAATTATTTGAAATCACCTGCTCCATGCCTCAGGGATCACTGCAGTAATAGAGGAGATGGACAATCAGTACCAAATATGACTATTTATCACTACAAAGAAACAACATAATAATGATGTCCCTTTGGTACTCCTGCTGGGGATCAGATTTCTCCAGACCCTGGCCCCAAAGAATGAGCATCTGCAAAGGGAACAAAGACATCAACTACAACCAACACACATCACTGAGATCAACCTCAGGGCACTGCTCTGGAGGTAACCTTCAATGTTTCTCAAAGATTTTCATTCCAAATAGGGCAAATATCCTAACCACCAGTGAAACATTTACAAGCTATGCACTTTCTGGAATAATCAAACTCACTAGAACTTTAAAGGGAAAAATGTAGACATTTTCCTCACATTGTGTATAATTAGCTGAGTATTGAAAGCAGCACAGTAATATGATGACTAATATTTTTCCTCAAAAAATAAGGAAAGATAATTAAAAACTTGTTGTGATGTGATGTGCAATTCCTCATAACATGTTTTTTCCTTGAGAAGTATCCTTAATAAAGCACTTAGATGTTTTTGAATAAGTTTTGCTGGAAGAGATTACAAAAATTTCTGCCAAAAATGAACAAATCTTGTAAAAAATTGAGGAGAAAATTCTATTTATATGTTTGCCCTTTGATGTAAAAAATTTCTATTTACTACTATATATAGCATTGTAGTTTCTAATTAAAAGATTCTGATCAATTTTGTCGACTTGAAAGAAAAGCATCAAGAGAATCAAGAGATAAAATAATACAGGATGTTGCAGGAAGAAAAAACTTTAAAAGTGTGCTTCAGAGGTTGTAAGAACAATGAGATTTTACAGCAGA